GAGACCTCTCCGGTGATTTATTTTCAGGTCCGGGACCACTGCAACGATTTACTTCAGGTTCGGAACCCATGCGGTGAATTATTTCAGGGTTGGCTCGACCACGGCATGCTAATACCGCTTCGGTACCCCTGCGGGTGCCCCTATGGCGTGACTACTTCATGTTTGGCGGCGACACGCCAAACTATTTCAAGTACGACATTATTGTGGATCCACCGTCTGCCTGTGCGGTACCATCATGGGGGGACATTATTGCACGGCGCCCCTCGATTTTCGAGTTGGTACGGCTCTGGTTCTGTTGGGGTACGCACCGCAGCGTSTATTTTTTGGAGTCTGCTACACCGCAAAGTCCGGGGGTCCGGTTAAGCGGGGCTACGATGGTACTACTGGCCCGGGGCTGCCGCTGCGACTGGGGTATGTGTTATAGTACCGGGCCTCCCATTGGAAAAGTCGGGGGGGGACTTGACGTTCTTTAGAGGCAGTGCCTGGGATATATGGGGGAGAATGGAAGGAGTTGGGGACAGTGCGCCAGGTGTACGCAGTCCACTCATGGGATCGGACAGGAGAGTTCGAGTCCGCTTGGGGACAGTGTGCCAGGCGTACCAAGTGGCCTGCTGTTACAACGGGCAGCAGAGTCACGGGAGCAGGGGGAAGACCAGAGGGAGAACGGGGCGCACAAGGGGAAGCGACCAGTGTGAACGCAGTTCGCTGGTGCTACCATGGCTGTGACAGCCATGGGTGTGCACCCATGAAGGAGAGACCAGAACTCAGCGGAAACCGGAAGTTCGATTGCGATTGCTTCAGCTATTCAGCGATGACCCAGAGATAAATTACGAAAATGCCCCTGGCTTCGAGAATAGCACGACGCTGCACCGCTCCCTGACTGGAAATGACAAGTACAGATTAGTCACCTTTCATTTTTAATTTTATTTTGTTTTCTCCCTTCCTTTTCTCTCTTTTCCCTGCTTCTCTTTGAAATGCTTCACGGCCGCTTGCCTGTTGGACCAACGGGGGATACCCTACCAGTAATCAACCAGACACTGTAGGTATGTGGACTGAGTGGGAGAGAGAGGGAAGACTGCGTGAGAGAGAGAAAGAGAGAGAAGACTGCGTGAGAGAGAGAAAGTGAGAGAGAGAGAGAGAGAGAGTGTGTGTGCAGTGAGAGAGAGAGAGAGAGAGTGCACAGCGAGAGAGAGTGCACAGTGTGAGAGAGAGAGAGTGTGTGTGTGCAGTGAGAGAGGGAGAGAAAGAGTGCACAGCGAGAGACAAAGTGCACAGTGAGAGAGAGAGAGAGAGAGAGAGAGAGAGAGAGAGAGAGTATGTGTGCAGTGAGAGAGAGAGAGAGAGAGTGCACAGCGAGAGAGAGTGCACAGTGTGAGAGAGAGAGAGTGTGTGTGTGCAGTGAGAGAGAGAGAGAAAGAGTGCACAGCGAGAGAGAGTGCACAGCGAGAGAGAGTGTGCACAGTGAGAGAGAGAGAGAAAGAGTGCACAGCGAGAGAGAGTGCACAGCGAGAGAGAGTGTGCACAGTGAGAGAGAGAGAGAGAGTGTGTGTGTG